CGATATCAAAAGCCCTAATAGTTGCGTATTATATTATAAAATAAAGAAATCCTAATTATTTTTTTTAAAAGACCAAGAATCCATAATAATTTCTTCTTCCTATAATAAACCCAAAACCCCCTAATAATGATTTATTCTAAATTTAAATATATATATAATATATTAATAATTTTACTATTGTTATTTTCTAAGACAAGAATGCATTAATAATATTTAAATATATAAGGGACGATCAAAATTCCTTATTCTTCTTCAATTAAAAATGGACGTTATCGGTTTTGAGGTGGACCTTATCATTTTACAACATTTTAAATTCGTCGCATACTTATAACCATATATAGCGCTGGGATTATCGATTTTAAGGTAGACCTTATCCTTTTGCAAGATTTTATGCATAAACCTACCCCTCTTTATTAAAATAGTCTTCGTATGTTTTGACCGTGGCTCATATATAGATCTAAAAATCTAATTATAATATAAATATATATATTCGATATATATATATCCAACAATATATAACATAAATTCATATTTCAATAACAATAAATATATACATACAACAAAATAAAATATATAATTCGATAAAATCCAACAATATTTATCATTAATATAAAAATTATATTAAAAAAATTCCATATCAATATTTAAATTCATATCATATTCATTAAAAATACCTATATATATTTATTATTAAATCCAATAAATTTAATATCAAATTAATTAATATATATAAATAAATTATTCTAAAAAAAATAAAATAAACAATCTTATCAATTTTACAAATATATTATTTTAATAATATATAATATCCAATCGAAAATCAATAATAACTTAAAATAAATAGATATATTAATTATATTATATTTAATTTTAATATTCATTATAAATTCATATAACCCTAATTAAATCAATATATAATATAAATAAATATTTATATATATTTATTAGTAATATATAATATTAAAATATATATTTATTTAAAAATAATTAATCAAATATATCCAAAATATATTTATATAAACAAACAAAACAATATCAAAATTTATTTAAAATAATTAATCAAATGTATTTAAAATATATTTATATAAACAAACAAAACAAAAAATAATCAATATAATATAACAAATCGATTTCACAATATATATATAATAATAGAATATAGTAAATTATTACACATATAATATATATATATATCCGATTATTTTTGATCAAATTCTAATTGGATATTGCGTAAAATCAAGGTAATATCATTGTCCTGCAAAAACACAAATTGTATGATTTATTGGAAGGATATGGTCCGCATATAGTGAAGGAGCCAAAATATGCAATTGATTTTGCAATTTTTATATCCAACGACAATACGATTATATATACGGTGTGTATCTCTACCCTCCCGAAAATTGACATAGACCCTGACAATGGCACCCTGGAAGATTGTTTTCTACCAACCAGTGGTTTTCATATGTTTTCAAGGTCCACGCTAGTCTTCCAGCGTGTACATGTGTTTTCCCCAGATAGCGGAGTTTTAGGATTCTCACTTCAAATAACAATGAGTTGCCCGTGCGCGCTTTCGAGACAGGTTGCTGGTGCTGGGTGCCGGCGCTCGTGCCGGTGCTGTGAGCTGGCTGCGCACGTGGTGGAGTGGTGCTGGGCCGGGTGCCGGGTGCCGGTGTTGATGCTGGTGCGGTGAGCTGGCTGTGCACGTGGTCGAGGCAGGTTGCTGGTGCCGGTGCCGGGTGCCGGATGCCGGTGCTGGTCGGGTGCTGGCGCCGCTGCCGGTGTTGTCAGCTGGCAAAGCGCACCGGTCTGGAGGTGCCGTAAGCTGGCTGTGCAGGCTGCGTACATTCTTGTTCCAGCCAGTCGCATGTCAACAGGTCGTGGGATTCTGCCTAGCTATCTGGGTCTATGCTGGTGTAATTTACTTTTTTTTTGTGCTTCCTAAGGATACAGAAAAAATGTGAGATTCCAAAACCTTCGTCTTGCAATGTCAACAATTTCCCTTCACCTCGAGTCCTTGAGGGAGGCCAGCTGCAAAAGGTGACCATCACAGGTTTTGCTCTGGGTCTGTTGTCCAGTCGCGTCTGCCCTGGCAGCCATGATTTGAACCCGCCAGGCTTCCACCTGGTTGCGGGTTGAGAAAGCTAGAAGTTGGTAGATCAACCAGGAAAGCACACAAACAAAATGATCCTGCCAACATGCGTGCAACACTGTGCAATCACATTCTTTGAAACACCCTGGGAAGCCGGCAATGGGGCTGCATCACCCACTACAAAGCACAAGCCATACAAAAAAAACAAGCAACAGGACTCAAGAAGGTATAGCACGGCACAGGACATGGCAATGGACAGGAGCCGACTCGCAGGCATTAGCTGCTGATTGCATTGGAGACATTGGAGACCTGCTAGCCGCTAGCCAGCAACAATTGTGCGGCCTCTGTTCTACGAAAGTCCTGGACGGACAACGAGGGTGGTCGGGGCGGTTTCAACCGCACGGAGAAACGACTCACTTGTGAACCGCTGCTCCCCCACAAGGGGCGCCCACCACATCCCCAGCAAGCGCGTTAGCCCATATGCCTTGCTGTCATACATCGCGACCGGCGATGCGTTGGCCCCAAGGATGCTACAGCCAAGCGCCCGCACCCGGCCAGCGGTGCATCAACTGCCAGCCAAATCTTGGCCGCAGGGCTCTCTGACATAATGCCATTCCAAGCCCTTCACAGTTGTCAGGGTTGGCGCCGACGTACATCAAGGACCAGCCTGATGCACCTTTGTTTCTGTCGGTCCTTTCCAACGTTGAAGGTTCTCTGCCCCGTTCCAACTATCGTGCCTCTTCTGCACTGCCTTCTGCATGACGCAAGTAAGCTTCAGTCACCTGGACCAAAATCATGACCCATGACCCTCTCACAAACCATGCTACCAACTCACAAGGACGAAAACACGACACATTGGGGAAAGGGTACTTGAGATGATTTTCTTCTACCTGCTGAAACCATCTGAAACATGTATATAATGTCATCGATTCATCCCTCCTCAGAACTTTGGACTACACTCGACCTGACCTAGTTTGAAAGACCTAGCTGTGGGGGACTCAGCGCCTCTTCCGTGGCCTCCAGCACATCACCGCTGCCCGGGGTGCCGATCGCTAACACGTGGGTCCAAGCGCCGATGCCTTCGTGGAGGCGTCGCGCAAAGTGAAGACCTCAAGAGGTGAGCAAACTGGAGACCTCGCAGCTCCAAAAGGAGTTGAGTTGAGAGTTGTCCTATTTTTTGATGTTTGACCTTCCGGTCCTGGGCATCCGACTATCCATGGACGATCCAAACATTCTTTTCATGACTATCCCGACAGGAATCACAAAAAGAACTTTCCGGTTTCAGTGCATCAAGGTGTTTGGAGCAGCCATGTCAGCTGTAACTTGACCAATCCTGCACCACCTGAGCCCATAAACAATCATAAACATTCCCTGGCCATCGATCCATTTCCATCCTAGGCACAGTTTTGGTCCAAGGGAACCCAACGATCTCCGTTGAAGACTTCAGTCCAAACGTGGTCCCAATCCAACGGCACGCAAACGCCTTGATTCAAGACTCTCGATCTCACAATCTCTGTGATGTGCAATGATTCTGATAAGGAGGTGCTTAAAGCCTGTTAAAATGTTATACTGCGCAGGAAGGAATTTCTGTCATGCACATGCCTCAGTCGGTGCTATACTTCTCACAAATGTCCCTGCGTGAGTTGTGGAGGACGACAATCTGGCATGCAGCGTGAACTGACCCCTATAAGCATGAACAACCAGGAGTACAGTCTAAATTGTCACACACACACACACACTTTTGTTCATACACAGTCGAAGGAAGGGTGCTGCGGCACTGCTAGGCCGCTGAGCACAATCAAAGCCCTTGCCTCAGTGACCTTTCTATGCATCACCACACCACCGCCCACGACACAGGACACGGCAATGGACAGCAGCCGACTCACAGGTATTTGTTCAGCAGGCATTAGCTGCTGATTGCATTGGAGACATTGGAGACCTGCTAGCCGCTAGCCAGCAACAATTGTGCGGCCTCCCCTCTTCAAGGCTGTTCTACGAAAGTCCTGGACGGACAACGAGGGTGGTCGGGGCGGTTTCAACCGCACGGAGAAACGACTCACTTGTGAACCGCTGCTCCCCCACAAGGGGCGCCCACCACATCCCCAGCAAGCGCGTTAGCCCATATGCCTTGCTGTCATACATCGCGACCGGCGATGCGTTGGCCCCAAGGATGCTACAGCCAAGCGCCCGCACCCGGCCAGCGGTGCATCAACTGCCAGCCAAATCTTGGCCGCAGGGCTCTCTGACGTAATGCCATTCCAAGCCCTTCACAGTTGTCAGGGTTGGCGCCGACGTACATCAAGGACCAGCCTGATGCACCTGTGAAACAGTATGACTCTATGACTGGCTCGCTTTGGCACAGCGTGGCTTTTGGGGCATGTGCCAAACACTAAACTGTACAGTATGGTCCCCACCTTTCTTTCCCAACGATTTGGGTAACCGTGACAAACTCCAACTGAAGCTCACAATGTGAAAACAAACGCATCCGATGCCGTTGCAGTTGCAATAGAAACAAACGCAATGTGAAAGGTGTTCTTGAAACGTACGCTTGAATCTTGTATTTTGTGCATTCAATTGCCCTTTTCTGCATGCAAGTTGCGAAGCGGAATGCTCAAGTACTTTGCCAACCAAGCCTTCAAATCCTCACTGAGGGCAAGCCAAATCATGATCAAAACCACCTCCAAAATGAGATCCTGTATTTGTTTGATATGTCTGGCCTGTGCGCGTCGCAAGAACTCCATAATGCCAGCATGTTCTTGACGGAAAACTGCAAACTGCACCCGGAACGCTCAAGGAGTTATACTGTTATATGCAACCTGTCATAGTGACGACCCCAAACACACACAGAACAGTGACCGCTGCCAGACTCGAACTCAATGAACTCAATACCGTTCCTCTGCTTTCACGCTGCGACACAGAGGGCACGGCACGGCACCGAAGGGTATGATTTTCAGATGTTTTCATGCTCGGCCATTCAGCTCCTTTCTCGGTCTGCCACCGGCCCACCGGAGTCTTCACCGTTTCGTGGTTGACTGCCACTCTCGGGGCCCTCAACTGAGAAGCCCCGTTCGTGGCGTCCTTGCTCCTAGTAGCGATGCCAGGAGCCCCTAGTAGCGTCCTTGCTGCTCCTAGTAGTATGGCCAGGGGCCCCTAGCATCGTTCTTGAACATATCAAGAATCCCATTAAATTATCTACAGTATCCTGATCCCCATTGGTTTGGCTTGTCATTCGTCCTCTTGCTCGCCGCAAAGCCGCCCCCAGCGCCGGGGGTTCAGGGTGATCTCCGGATGAACAGAGCGGAACCATCGTGAGGTGCAACCGCAGGAGGGGCATCCTTGGGATCCGTGAAACACCAATGAGTGAGGCTGAACATTGCAGAAAAGAGACTCTTCCTGCTCAACTTCAGCTTTGAGGTTGCTGCCATACAAGGTCAAGGGATGGGCTCAGGTTCAGCTTCACATGACCTCCATCATGCTCCTGGTGCACATTGTCTGGTTGGCAGCCACTGTCTAAGAGGTCGCACACCTTCCCCAAACTCTACTGGGCCAGGTGGGCTTCACTCCAGTGAGCCGTGACTGTCCAAGAAACCAACAACTGGTCGGCCAACTGCTTGGCTAACCGAGCCCACACCCCCCAAACAATCCAAGCTTCTGTAAACAAAGACAACGGGCCCCTTCGGCCCGCGAAACCACCCTGCACGGACCAAGGGCTTCTCGCTGTCTGTGGGCTCCTCTTCGGAAAGGTTTGGGTCCTGGAGACGGGTTTTCACAAAAGGACGTATACACCCTGGAAGATTAACAGTTAGTAGCAGAAAAACAACTGGTTTAGTAGCGGAAAACAGGTTTGTAGAGGTGCCATTCGACCCGGGTCCATGGTAGTTTTCAGGAGTGTAGTGGGTTCAAAGTAGATGGCACAAGGGACCCCAAGGTTGGTGGTTTAGATGGACATCTTGGGGTGTGTGGGTTTGTGCCATCTACTCTCAATCCACTGTAATGAACAGTCGTCCTCCAGTAACAGCTATCACCCATCCCGATCTCAGCATCAGTGTTCCACAATACGGCCCTCTCACACGCTTGTCTTCTTGAAATGGTTGGCTTATATTCAGTAGTCTTGATGTTGATGTTATCCTAACTTCAGACTGCAGCTGCTGAATACCTCTTAAAGGATTTCGATCTTGGAGCGCTTCTCCCAAAAATGATTTCTCTCCACACGTATGTGTGCTGGCCTCATCCGCTGGAAAGGTGTCCGGCACTTGATGGCCGCAATTTTGACACTGCACGTGCACATATTCAACGATGGGGTGAGCTTCAACCTCACCGTCCAAGGAATCCCGTTTGTTTTGCTTCACTGCCCACGTCTCTCAGCGGTAGCCCTTGGTCAACTCCACTTTGCCTCAAACATGGGATGATGCACCTCCCCCATAGCATGGCACACTGACATAGAGGGAAAAGGGTCTTGACTCCTAGAGGGCTGAAGCAATTTTCCCAAATCTCCAAATTGAGTTAGTTGAGGATCTTCGAATCCCAGCCGCTCGTTGCCAAAGCTCCACCGGCCCGCAAGGTGACGAACACAATGCCTTCACCGCGTCCAGCCACGTTGCGCCTGGATGGTGCTGCCGAGGTCTTGGGTCTCATAAGTCCCACAACTTTTTTGTTGCCATGGATTTGTGGGTTCCAGATTTGGGCTCCCAGGCAGGAATCCAATAACCTCTTTGCCAAACTGAAGGGCTGCTAATTAGAAGTGGGTTTAATAGTGGTGGGCCTGCGGCCATTTCCGGTTTCAACTGTCTATCTCTGATGCACCCCTGGTGCAAGAGAGAAGCTTTGTGGTGGAACTTGCCATTTCGGGGGCATGCCTCAGGGGCTCGTGCTGGACTCAACCGACCACACAAGCGACCGCTTCAGGCCTTCAAACGGAAGGCCGCATCTTTCTGCCAACGGCTTTGGCAACTCGAAGCTTGCCTCCAGTGTAAGCCGTATGTTGAGCGATTCACAGCTAGGAAACCGAAGGACTAAGGTCAGGCGAGGCGATGCGAGAGGTGGCCAAAAGAGTGCAAACAAGCCTTTTCCGGTGTTCACACGTTCTTCTGGATCGCTAAGCATCTTCTCCAAAAACATCACCATTCTACACTTCTGAAAGCAACTGGTCTCTCAAAACTCTTGCATCAAACTCTTGGAATCTGGCCAGCACTTCCTCCGTCTTTTCATGGGAATAGCCTCGGCCAAGTGGTGGGCAATGGTTCTTCCGCCAAACATCCAAGGTCTGGGGGATTGTCGTGGCCCGAGGTGGAGTGCTACAAGCCAAGGAGACAGCCAGAGCCACGAAATCAGAAGTGCACTCCCCTCTTAACGATCAATCATCCGAATCATCAACCTATCGCTATGTGAGGACCGCCAGCGAGGAACCCACTCCCGCCAGGTGGCTCCCCAGCAGCTCCCATTTCTTCCGCACAGACCAGACTTTCTTTCGCAAGACTTGCTCTGCGGCGCTCCTGTGAGCCATCAGGTTGATGGAGTCACCCCCCGGTCTTCCATGGTTTTCCAATACGTGGGAGTTGATCTAAATTCCTTTATCCGGGATCCGTCATTTTCGCCAAAAAAAAAATTACTTTCGCCAAATTTTCGCCTTCCTGCGTTTTATCTTTCGCCGAAGTACGTTGTATTTATGTGTGCCATGTATGTTGTGTTTTGTTCACGTCAATGGCTTCTTCTTTACTGGCAAACACAAAATAGAAACTTCACTGTTTGTCAGCATGTGTCTTCTACTTAACTGTTGACACCCAGTACGTCTCTTTTGTTTCTCCTGGGTGTCAGCAAGAATCAATATTGCAAGAATCACTGTAGTAGCCGGTCACTCAAACTTACTCATAATGGGCTGGGGGTCAGATGTGGCAGGGTGAACTTTCGCCAATCTTGAGCTGAACTTTCGCCAAACTTTCGCCTTTTGCGGGGTAGAGTTTTGTGGCAAAGCCACCCCCCAAAGCAGGAGCAGGAATAGTAGTAGTAGTAGTAGTAGTAGTAGTGGTAGTGGTAGTAGTAGTGGTAGTGGTAGTGGTAGTGGTAGTGGTAGTGGTCGTGGTCGTGGTCGTGGTCGTGGTGGTGGTCGTGGTAGTGGTAGTGGTAGTGGTAGTGGTAGTGGTCGTGGTCGTGGTCGTGGTCGTGGTGGTGGTAGTGGTAGTGGTAGTGGTAGTCGTAGTAGAGTAGTAGTAGTAGTAGTAGTAGTAGTAGTAGTAGTAGTAGCAGCCGCAGCAGCAGCAGGTTATCTAACTTCCACAGCTTATCTAGCTTCTGAGTCACTGCCACCAGCTGTTCAGAAAGCAAATGAACATTCATACAAAAGTACATATTTAATCTTTCGCCAGATCTTTCGCCAAAAAAAATTACTTTCGCCAACTCGAGAAAAAACTTTCGCCAAATGAGATTTTGATATGTTCCGGGTCATCGTCATACACACTGCTGACTAGGACCTTTAGATCGACAACCACGTCCACATGCGTCCCGAATCGTCCCGAATGCAAAAAACTGGAGGGGGATTATGAGATAAACACATATGATGAAAACCAAGCGAATTCACAATAATGATACAACCTCTATTTCAAGTCACCACCTCTGGGCCGGGGAATGCCTGTTGAGTTTCCAAACCTAAGATCTGCATCGACCCGTGTGACCACAGCGCTGGTCTGAGCCATGGCCTCGAGTCCATTGCCACCCAGGTCAGACCTGGCACTGTTGGAAGGCTTGGCTTGGCACGCAAGCCGCCCTTAAACATAGTATAAATTAATATAATATTGTCCAAGTCCAAGTCACCTGCTAGCAAAAGTGACGGCAGAAGCACCAGCGGACGCTTCTGCCGTTGGCACCATAACTGGCGGCAAGAGCTCCGGGAATCTACATACAGCCCCCCTGCAAGCTCGGTAGAAGTGATACGAAGAACCGCCCACACCTTGAAACCACAAGGCAACTCCCAGTGCAACAGGCCATGTGCGAGCACTCTCTGCGCGAAGAGGCTTCCAACCCATGCTGGGAGCCAAAAGTACGCTGGCTCAGATCCAAGACTCCAAGACTAGGTTAACGACCGGGGAAGATTCCATGGTTTTCCAACAACGGAGCCACTCGGCTGCCGACAGCTGTGCGGGACTGGCAGTACATCCTTTCATTTGAGGCTGTACATCTCAAAAATTCATCTCACAGAATCAACTGGGCTCTGTCCTCACCAAACTGGAATTTTCTGCACACCGTTTTTTTCGGCCAACTTTTCTGGCCAGTCTTAGCACATTGACCAGCACGCAGGAGTCGTTCCGTGGATTCCAGCAGTTTCACAGGCAATGAACATACCCAGAACTGGTCCCTGGTCGAGGTGCATCATCTGAACCCAGGATGCAGGCCTGCGGTGCTTCTGATGACATTGAATGAACGCTGAACATTAGCAGAGCTTCTGGCATCGCACATTTCACGCGCCAAAAGTGAATCCAAGGGCTGGAGCACATATTCCGACAGCTACATCTCATGAGGGAACAAGTAACAAATGGACATCACTCTTAAAAGAACCCAAAATAGACATAGCCAGCAGTTTGTCCACCAGCCCTGGTTGCTATCTACTATAGGCCCTACTTGGCTTCGTTCAGGTGCGACCGATCCTTAGGCCCCGAGCGCCGACTTGCTCATATGTCCCAGTGCCAGAAAGACTGCAACTGCCGGACATACTTCGAGCTCCTCGAGCTAGAGGCCGCTTCAAACCTACACCGCTCAAAAAACCACTGAGTGGTCTGCCCTACGAGACAATGGCAGGACACTGGCCAATCCTTTCGGGTGAGGAACCCCAACGCAGAAATCACCCAAACAGGTGAGCCATATTCAGTGCTCGGCACCGCTGGCAACGAAAGGATGTGTTTTTCTCTTCTCTTGCTTCTTGACAGACTAGGGCCACTACAGCAAGGCTGAAATGCCAAGAAAGCCTGAGAACCACCAGAGGAATTTTGACGGTGTTCCAGTGTCAGTGGTCAGGCTGTGATTTGCAGCAGGGGAAAACCACACGTCAGTCACTGCTTGGGTCGGGCCAGTTAGCCACAGTCTGGGAGTGCTGCTCGGAGACCATGAATATGGGATATGAATATTTTATATACAGTGCAGTGGTTTCAAAGCAAATGGCACTGGCACCTCAAGATGTCTTTCATTAGATGGGGGTCCATACAAACCAACTTTTGGGGTTTGCGCCATCTACTCTCAATCCACTATATATTAAAATAGATTCTATACCGGGTTGCTCCTATCGTTTGCAACAAGCTCGTTGAAGTGGCAGCGGGTCAAACCATTCTACTGTAACTTCTACCTGTGAACATCCTAGAGTTGAAAAACGTGGTCTACTTCTTCACCATCCACTAGTCTTTTTTCCCCGCTTTTTGGCCTGGATCCATGCTTTGGATCCAGCTTGGTCCTTCCGTGTTTTCTGGGATGCCAGACACCGAACGGCAGGCTTGCGAAGCATCTTCCGCCTGGGCAGCCTGGGTTGGACGGGCCATGGGCCCATGACTCTTTCATGGGGAGAAGTTTGAAGTCTTTTTTTAAAATCCTGCATGAGGTCAAGGACCATCACAAGGACCTAAAAACATCTAACATGGTGGTGTGATTGAGCTTGATCTTGCCTACAGCGAAGTCAAAAATCCCCACACCTGACCACGCCCTTCCATCACAGAGACCTCCCAAGCGAGCACGCCTCACAACTGTACTAAGCCATGGGTGCCGAACACATGCATGATTGACAGGGAAAGGACCTCTTCTGATTCATATAGATATAGATATATATATATATTATATATATATATATATCTTCTCGATGTTTTGCTCCCCCAGCCCACGAGTCTTGGCGTCTCTGAGCTCTCCCTGCAGCTCCCAAAAGGATTCGGTGCCCGGGTCGCAAGGGAAAAGCTTCGTCCTTTTGGAGGCTCCTGGGTGCTGCAGGAGGAGGTCGCAAAAGGAGCCCTTTTTCGTACCAGTGAATGAAAAGCACTGGTCAAGAACAAGGCAAATCATTACACTATATAGAAAAGAAAGCACTTATATATAATGCTCACGAACATGATCAAACATGGAAATATAGAGGGTGTTCTTAGATGTTGTTTTTTTAAATGCAACGTTGAACAACAATGGTTCACTAGGCCTTTAATTTGTTTGAAAAGGAGTGGAGAAAAGCTTTTCGCATGTGAAAAAACGTTGAGGACGGGCAAGTGGCGGCGAACAATCGAACCCCCAAGGGTCATGGCACAACAAGGGGCTGCAATGGAGGATGATGCTCATTGAGCTCCATAGAAGAACTGGATTTTGTATGATAGTCGTGCGAGTGGAAGGCCAAACAACGGGGTCACAAGTAGAACAACAAAATGACAACGGACCGTCATCCCATACCATGTATATAAGATCCCAACATCCAAATGTCAGCAAGGGCCCAACAGGGCCGGGGCTCTGTTTTCAAACATTGAGCCAGCGGGCAAGATGTGCTCTTGACTTGGACATTCGCCCAAGTTCTTACAAGGTGAGCATCTCTTTTTCGGAATTCTGAGTCATGATGTGCTCATAAAGGAGTTGTAGCTCTCGAGTCTGGACCTTCTTGCAAAACTCCATCAATTCTGGATCTTCGTGCAACAGGGCGTCCTCACAGAAGTTGTTGAAGAGCTTGGGCTCCCATTTAGGCCCCATGTTTCTGAGGAGACGCCGTGCGTCCGACGCATCCTCAGCGAACTCCTCCGCATCTCGTCTGAGTGCTGGAAAAATGGGATGTTCAGAGGTTCCCGACGAGAAGTAGAAGGCCTGGCCCATCCAATAACCACTGTTGTTAAAGCCTGATCCAAACTCTCCCAGATTCTCGCCCTCCATCCGGTGAACAATCACATGGCAGTACTTCGCATCCCGTGACATGGTACTCTGCAGCTTCGGTGGGCCAGCGAAGGTCGTGGGAGCAGCCCAGGTATGTGGTGTGATGAGATTATGCGCCTCATCCAGACCACCTGCGCGCGGTGGATTGAAGCTGATCCAGTGAAAAAGTCGAATGAGTCGAAGGATGCTTTTCAAAATGGTAGGGGGTTCTACCCACAACGTTCCAAAAGGTTCGGATATTGTGAGCACCCTGTTCATGGGAAGACGGAGTAGGATCATCCTCTCTGCAGGATTATAGCAACACGCTCGTGCTATCATATTAAGATAGCATTAAGCAAGGGGCGACTGAAGAATCTTGAATACAAATCGTGAGTACCATGTCTTCATGTCTTCGCTTCCGGACTGGACATATAGGTTGAGTTTAAGTCCGTTTAGTGAAGTCCAAAATCCTGGGATTGACATGTTGTAACGGCGCTTCTTTCGTGTGGCTGGCATGCGCACCTAGCATCAAACAAAGCACCGCAGCCGCCACCTCCGCGGAATCTTGGTCCACCCGGCTTTCAAGGCCCTTCACCAAGAGCTCTATGGCCTTTGGCCCAGATCCCAAGGCTTCGATGCCACAGCTGGCCAGGGGAGACCGCATGGGCTCGGCCTTGTACCTGAGGATGGGAGGTGTTTTGTTTAAGGCGCTTGGCTTGAACGTGGGGACACAGGAGGGGGGCTGAACAGAAGAGTCCGAACAGAAGAATTGTCTGTGATGTTGATCATTGTTTGGAGGCTTCTCTTCTCTGTGGGAAGGAGAACATAAAAAAGAACCCCCCCACACACGCACACCAGAAAATCATGAATACAACGGACGTATAATATATAGAGAGCTATGCAAAAATGATTCAGTTATGCCAGTAATGCTTCAGTTTTTGTCCCAGATGCTCCATGGTCTGGTTTCGCAACGGCACCCCAGTGCTGTCCACCAACTTCAAGATATCTTCGACCACCTTGAGCCCAGCTTTCACCTCCGGAGTCTCCATGACCTCCACGTCCACAATCTCGACACGCCGTCCGGTTCGCGACCGGACCCAGCGGCTCGCGCGGCTCGTGGTCCACGTGGCCACGGCACCACCGGCGGCGCGATGCGTGTCGGTCACTCGGGGAGTGGAGCGAGTGGAAGACGGACTTGGCCGTGTGTGCTGCGGGGCGCACGGTGCGAGGTGCTGTGGCACAGAGATCATGATGAAGACCCCGGGCCGTTGGAAGACGCACTTGAGCCAAAGGTCATGTGAATGATGCAGGTCTATTGGGGTCTCAGATCCGATTGCTCACCTGTGCCATCCTTTGCCTTCTTTCACATGCCATGAGCTGAAGAATTTTGATCATTTCCCCCAATCACAGCAAAGCCCCCTCCTGATGCCCAAGACCTTCCCTAAATCCAGCGAAATGCGATTCCTCACAGAAGGAACAACGAATAGGTGGGCAACGGACAACGGACAACTGAAAAAGTAATTCAAAGTGACTTGAAAGTTTTAAAGACCTGTGCTCCAAGGCAAATGCTGTGGTCAAAACGCTCCAATACAGGTTCGATTGGCTTCCATAGCACGTTGTCTCTTCGCGTGGTCCCAACATGCCAGAGATGCTGTGAGAGCGCAAGCAGAATGAAGGTCTTGTTTCGATACGCAATTCCGAAGTGATCTCCTTGGGTTCTAGCGCTTGCCAATGTCTGAGTCAAGCCAAGAATTCAAAGCTGACACTTTCAATGTGGCGGAGGAATAGAAAACTCACACGAAACACATAACTCTCAATTCTTTCAAGAACTTCAAGAACCACAGGCTGGCTTTACTCACTGCTCTTCACGTGCCATGTGACTTACAGATTTACACACTCGGCCATTCTCCTAGCACAATAGTAGATGCAAAATAGACCAACTCCATTCGTTCGTGGATGCTTGAGGCCACCAGTTGGTCGGGTCAGCACGTGCAGCACGACTTGGTAGACGCTTTTTTGCTCGACCTCGCCATGTGACATCATGAGACCCATTTCTGGGCGCCGGGCGGCTGATGAAATCCAAGCACTCTTCCCGAACTGTCCTCTGCCTCGATCAAGCGCAGGGCATCCATTTCTAGGACACGTGTGTTTCTTCACGGATTTTCACAGCTGCCAGTGACATGGGCGTTGAAGGTTCTACAAATGTTCCAAGGTTGGTGGAGCCCTGGCAAAATCTCCGGCCAAGGTACAAGAACTCCTTCTGGTGACGCCTGCCTATGATGTAGGGATCGTTCCTGACGGCCAAACACATCACCGTTTAATGGCCATGGAGCCTGTTGCACCATTTCACTTCACCCACTGAGGGTGCATCTTCGCGCATTGAAGCAGCAATGATCAGCTCACATCCCCTAAAGTCCCTAACGTTTCGACCACCGCACATGAAAATGGGCATGCCTTTGCATAAGGGACCAGGCAACCATCAAACTTGGTTTGATCATCTGTCTGTCGTCCATTCGACATGATTCTGTGGTAGAAAATCTCCATGTTCTTGGGGGACTTCCAAATCATCCAAAGCCAAATCTAGAATGGGTCTCGATTTCTCATTGCGATTTCATTGAAGATGTTGAACATTCACAAACGACTAAAACAAAACTACTAGATCCACTAGTCACTATGCTCTGATATGCGCTGTGTAAGTGTACTGCATGGCAAACACACACACATAACTTGTGAACTATCATATATATATATATATGTGTGTGTTTGTGATCTAATCATATCTAATATCTAGATATAATGATATAATCATACTAGCATAAGGATGTATAAGGCGTGTTAAAGGGGTCGATCACATCCGTTTTGCCAATGTGTCATCCGCCGGTGCCCTCGACCGCACCCCAAGGTGATCGGCCCCCAGAGTCGACGCTCGGCCGGCAAATCCTGGGGCGGGGCCGACGCCAACGGATCCGATGGGAAGCCCCGACCGGGCGATGACAAAGGATGAATTGAATTACTTTGATATTGTTGATCCCCTGGGATTGTTGATATTGTTTGATGTGAATTAGATGTGGCTTGCGCGAACCACCTGCTCCGAGAGCCTCAGATCATGGAAAAAAACATAAGATGTGAATGGTTGATGTAATTTGGATCGAGTTCAATGACTTACGCTACTCAGCCTCTTTTTTTTGTGGCATTGGAGACCGAATGCTTCCAAGTGTGTAAGGACATGTGAGTGGGGCGGCTCTATCGGCATGATGTGATGCGAGGTGTCGGAGGCGGGGAGCAAGAACATTAGGGAAACTTCACTAGTGACTAATTAATAGCGAAAAAGGAAAGTGGATAGGAAACCTACTAGCGATGGCCTTTTTTTAATCTAAGAGGGATGGCCTCCAACCTACTAGCGATGGCCTCCAACCTAAGAGGGATGGCCTCCAACCTACTAGCGATGGCCTCTAACCTGCTAGCGATGGCCTCCAACCTAAGAGCAATGGCCTCGAATCTAAGGGCGATGACCTCCAACCTAAGAGCATGAAAGGTTCTTTGGCCGTTCTTGAACTCTATCCAACTCGCCTTGGCCCCACTGCCCCCAATCTCCAGGATGATGCTCGGAGCCTTGCCAACCAAGGGGATGGCGCTGGGCCAGAAAAAGAGCTGCATTTCAGCCGAAACCTTTTCAAGGCAATGAGCCCGTAGCTGCATGTGTGGGCCTTTGGGGCCTGATCGCCACCGGAGCACCACATTTTTCGTAGCACGGGGCAAGAGACACAAAGCATGTAGACTCATGTAGACTCTAGACATGCAAGTTTCATCAAATTGATCAACTGAGTGTCATACAAACAAAAATCCACCAAACACATTCATGCATGCACATTAAATTGTGTTGATCTGAACGCCACTTCTCTTGAACAGTTCAACTTGAACATCCAGCTTCTCAGTTCAGCTCCAACCCCCGCAGTGCGCCTCAACTTGCGTCTCGAGCTCCTCAGACGAATCCCGACTGCTTTTTTGCAAAATGGAAGGTGCCAAAAGGGATCCATGCTTGGTCAAAAGGGGCACCTCTTCTGTGACCCAGTTCAAACCATCTTCAGACCTTGATTGCCATTGGTAAACAGTATTTGTCCTACTCGGAGGCTTGGAGACCAGCTCGTGTTGTGGGTTGGAGCGCTTTGAGATTTGCACGAGCCCGTCTCCTCTCGCATCGCCTCCAACGGCTTCAGTGGCCGGCAACGCGGAGGTGGCAGCAAGCCTCGAAGGCGAGCTGTCCAGAAAACACGTCGAATAGCACCCAGAAGGAGGGTGTGAGACGTGGAAGTCATATGAAGTAATATATAATGTGGTTGGATCATGAGGAGTTCAACATGTTGGAAGAGGTCTTCAAGCTTCAGGAATCAAGTTTCACAATTGAGTCTTGTTAAATCCTTGGCATGCAGGGAGGGCTATCTTTAAGAAATGTTGCAGCGAATTCCCATCAACAGCGAAGTCTCGTTGCCATCACTGCCAACTGCCAGCCGCGCGATGGAATTCCAGGGGCCCCTGCCGGGCTCAACTGCAAAGGGTGCCACATCTGGCGTCCTCAACAGAAACTCAAAGTCTATTTGGGCCAAGGCGCCCAAGGTTGTAGGGGAGTCTATTGCTTGTAGTTTCATGCCACATGTAATTGTCCCTGATCATCTGAAACTGCATGATAGTGACCGATAGTGATTCATTTGACCCGTGTTTTGATGGGAAAAGGCAATAGTTTGTGGTCTAAAGTCTAAAGTAGAGGCCACTAAGTTCTCTAGGTGTCTATACGTATAAATATTCATGTGTATTGTATCTTTATATATCCCATACATATGAATGAATGATCTATGGGATGTTAATTATTCTTGCCAGCCCATCAAGCAGAGCACAAGACCTTAAGAAACTCACTCTTAAGAAAGAACATCAAAGCCCTCTCTTGAGATATGTTCTGATGTCCGAATCTGGAGGGTTTTCACTCCGATACATCCAAGCCTGGGCGAAACACCTGGGCACGACGCGAGCCCGGAGTCTCGTTTGGTGGCCATTCAATTTCAGAATAAACGGATCACCCTTCCCAATCCCCAAAGACACGAAGTGAGCTGCAAAGCGGTGGTGTCTTTCTTGTTATGACAGGGGGGGCGCATAGATCTATGAAATATTGCCCTCCAGCTCTGCATGCGCAGGTTGGCTGATGCGCTTGAAGGCGCGCCTGAATTGAAATCTCAAACCGTCAAGACCTTTCGAAGTGATGGAGGTAGTGCACAGCACAATGTCACAAATAGAGAGCGATCCTGGTGATTTGCTCTGTGAAGCAAGCCACAGCACTAGCCACAGCATACACGAGAAGCCTGGCTTCTGGTGTGCGGGTGCCATTCTCAGGATTCCTCTGATCATAAAAAAGTTCATGGCACAAAGTGAACCATCAAAGAAATTTGCAGGATTCCGCAGTCCTGCTAATCAAAGCCACTTCCGGGGTCGTTTTATATCTTGTGTTCTGACCTTCTTCAGCCCTATTCCTATTCACCTAAATGCATAATGATTGTGTTTTTACTGGCCTGACTCTGTTAGCATGATTAGTCGACATCAAGATACAAAGGTAGCTGGGGAACCCAGCAACCACCTTCAAACCGTTGGCATCCATTTGCCTCTTTCAGCCTGACGGACATGCAAAGAACTGAGCCCTCGGCAAAAACTCCGATCAAAGCCCTTCGTTGGCCTCAGTTGGAAACTGCATCCCGAGGAGACCTCCATATCCCGGAACAACCGGTAAAATACCTTCATCTGTTTAGCCCTTCCTGAAGCTCAAGCCCAAAAGGAGGCAGAGTCTCAAATGCATTTTCAATAGCAAATGTTGCCAAGCACGTTAAAATAGAAGACATGTTTGTGTTCTTCCTTGTGCCCCAAGCAAATCTGGGAATATCTTCTGTATGAACGTCAGTAGTGCAAAGGCCGGGCTTTTTTCTAATTTGCCAGGCAGTTTATGTTTATGGTCGTTCCTGCTCTTCTGTCAGGAGCATCTGTCAGCAGCATGTTTCCCAGTGCTGATGCAGTGGACCGGCAAAATCCACGTCGTTCCAATGAAGAAAACAGTCTACAGAAGATCCAGAAGATGGGCCTCACATAGAGTATATACACTAATTATAACAAACTTATGTTTCTGGGTGGCTGCCTTCTGCCCAGGGAGTGCGAAAGCTCAATAGGAATGCAATTTGGCGGCTTGTGCAAGCTATATAAGCCCTCGTGGACATCCCGATTCAACCCCTGCAACACCTCTTTCTTCTATTTGACTCTGTTTTTCGTGCGCACAGAAGACGCAAAATGGGAATATTCAGGGATTTCTTCTATCCTTCAGGCTTGGACTATAAAGATTCTACAGTAAATACAGAAACGTCGCAAAGTTCTGGTGTTGTCCAGGAACCAAGATCAGTGCGACAGATTTTGTGCAGTGGATTGAAGTGTAATGCGCATTATTGACGGACTTTGGATGGCAGTTTGTACGCCTCTTTTTGGTGGTGCCACATTGTGCCATCCAATGGCTAGCATTCTTGCTACTAGTAAAAAGAAGCTGCTAGTAACAAAGGGCATCGCTACTAGGAGCAAAGGACGCTACTAGGGGCTCCTGGCCTTACTACTAGGAGCAAGAAACTACTAGTTACTAGTAGCAACGAATGCTGTTTGCCACGCCCCTTTTCCCATGTCGCCGATGGTCGCCTCATGCCGCGCCACTGCTGTCGGCCGGGTGCACCAGGCCGCCATGGATCCCAAAACGTTTTTGGTTGATGCCTCTGATGGTGCCCGTTCCAGGCGACACATTCACATAGAATTATCACACGCGGCCCGGGGTTCAGGCTCCTTGGCCTCTAAACTTGGACACCCCAGGTGGGTGCCAGCCAGTGTATCAACAAGGCCTTTTTTGGTTCATCGGTAAAAGTCTACACTGTACTACAGCCTCTACAGCACATCTGCACATACAGTTCTTCATCCAACGCTCCAAAAAAAGCATGCCCGTCGAATGCGCGGGGTTCGCAACCCTCATGATCAATCTCAAAAATGATCTGCAAAATCAATTTTGGTAAGTGGTTGGGCACACATGCTGCTGGAGAGCTGAAGAACGATTCTGGAAAGTCACGCAAGTTTCGCCTGCCTCACTCAACTCAGAAAAGCCAAAGCACTTTGTCCCTGTGGCACTTCAAAGGGCCTTCAAAGAAGGTCGGTGTCGTGCGGAGTATGGCTTGCGATGTTGCCCTCGAGCAGGTCCTGCATGGCCAAATGTGTGTGTGTGTGTTTGTTTTCTTACGTTTCTTACTACCATTTCAAGTAATTATGACATGTCCGTGCTATTGTTGGCCAACCATTTGCAAATTTGCAACTAGCCTAATAACTGTGCAGCCCGTGCAGGCCTATGTTTCAACCAAGTGATGAACTCGGGCCTCATCCTCATCCAAAAGGTCTCTCACAGCGGGATCCTGAAAATACCGGCATTTGTGTTGTTCGCTCTCTTTCTCACGTTGCTTGCGTGCTCCCTCTCTTTCTGTCTTTCTTTCTGTATCTCCCTCTCTCTCTCTCTCTGCAGAATCTGGCTACCAAAAAGGCCCCCCCCGCAGCGACACTCAGACCTGTCCTTGTCTCAATCTATGTGTATTATACTGTATATGTAAGTGAATATAAACATATGTATATATATATATATATGTGTGTGTGTGTGTCTGCGTGCCTAAATGCATACATAAAGGTTTTCGCATCCATATCCAACTCTAGCTGTCTGGGTGGCATCCTTTCTGAGGAACATTATTCTGTGCTTCAAAGTAAGAACATTCCCATGGCTGTCTGCCATGGCATGCCAAGCAACCTAACTGGTGATCAGTAGTAAGATGTAGTAAGTAGTGGTCCTTGCCCGGCATCCTGTAACTTCGGGGCCGCTATTCACATAGTGACACCGGAGATGCCATGATTGACAACTACCATTGCTGGATGACCTGACTCCATAACACAGTACCCGACTCCTGCTGTGCCCTGGGGGCGGGCAAGCTGTCACCCAGTAGGTCCTGTGGGACACAAAGCGAAACTGACGACACTCTCGGACGAGGGTTCCTTACAAAACCTGGGGTGTGTCCTCCCTCTTACTGTAATTAAGTATAATTAAGTTGCCTTGTTGAGTTATGAAGGTTCCCCAACCTGCTCCTTCACTGCGTCGCTGTGAGGAACATCCTGGGCCACACAGCGCTTTCAACATTTCTGCACTGAACCAGCCCAACTCCAACACCATCACTCCTGATTGGTGGCCTTGGTGGCCGCGAAGCTGAGGCCCAGCAGGTCCTCCAAGAACCAGGGCTCTTCAATTGCGCATCTTCAACTCGCAACGTGGAAAATGAGACTCTACCATCGCTACCGTGCAACTTCTTCAGGTGCTTTTCCAATCAAAAGTCTAAATACAACTTTAAACCCAGTATATACTTCTCACAAAACCCTTCAGCTTTTTTCAGCTTGGCTCATTCAAATCATTCATTCCTCGGCCAACTGCTCATTGAAAGAAAAGGGCAGGACGCCCATGGCTCCTCTTCCTCGGGCATTGGCGCCGGTGGAGGCACACTAGGGCCACCAAGTAGGTCCTGCAGACCGCCAAACACTGCTGGCAACATCTGTCCTTTCAATACCACGACCACTGCTTCCCACATTCAACTTTTCGGGGCAAAAGGATGAGGACGACAATGATGATGATCCAGGGGACCATATGATCCTGAAAACATTATCTGTAGTTGAAGTCTGTGGCTAGAAATGACTCTTGTTGCAAATGCCTCGTCCTCCTCCGCATCTGGCACCTGGCCCATGGCAAAAGGACATGCTGCGGACCGGTTCTGTAGGTCACCATGGACCATGAGGCACAAATGTTCAGCAAATGCTGCGCGCCTTCTGGTCATGATTCAACGCCATGCCAAACTCGGTGAGATCGTCCTTGGCTGGTCGATGTTCCTCTTGCTTGGAAGCTTCTGTGCTAGTAAGGATTTCTTCCTCTTCTTTCGAGGCAGCCCCTGGTTCCTCCATGATCGAAACTACTTCTTTGCCTACTGCTTCTCCCTCTTCCTTGCGAGCCCCTTCTTCTGCAGCAACCCTTTCCTCCTCTTCCTTGCGCGCCGCTTCTTCTCTAGCAAGCCTTT